GAAGACTGATTTCTTCTCGGCTGTCTCATCCGAGACCTATTAAGATGCAACCACAGACCTAGTCGAAGACGTCTTTAGCTCGACCCGAAGCCGTCTTTAGCTCGACTCGAAGCCGACTCCAGCCCCACTCGAAGCCGACTCCAGCCCCACTCGAAGCCGACTCCAGCCCCACTCGAAGCCGGTCCCAGCCTGACCGAAAGCACACGGAGTCGGCGTTTGCCGGGCACATGTAAAAAGGCCACTCACCAGGCGATCGCCGTTCTTGGGCGCGGGGGCGAGCGGCGGCGGGCGCGGGCGGCGAGCGGAGGTGTGGCCACCAGGGGCGTGGCGCCCAGCAGCGGGCCGGGCACCCCGCGACTCTGCCGCCGCGCGTAGTACATCGCCTGCGCGTTCCAGCGCCGCCTCGTGCCCTGCCGCGGAAGCCCTCGTCGGAGGCGCGCGCGGCGACGGCGTGGTCGTCGCGGCGGCGCGGTGGAGGCTGGCTTGCGGGCCGGTGGCACGCGCCGCGCGCGGCCGCCACCATGGAGGAGGCGACGGCGGCGGCGGAGGCCGCGAGCGGGGGCGGCGCGTCCGCGTCCTGCGCCGCCGCCGCCGCCGCGTGCGCCTTCAGCAGCAGCTCCTTGATGAGCGACCCCGACGGCGCTGCGCACAAGCACCACCACCCGCCCATTAGGGGTCGCTCTCGACCCCTGAGCCCCGTTTCCTTTTCATACAGTACGTAACAAAAGTATTCCAACCCCGCAACTGGACGAACACACAGATAACATGATAGCCCACCCTCTTTTTATATAGGCGAAGAAATGCGTGAGTATTGCTTGTGCAATATCACAAGTGTAACAACTAACTGGTGTACAAAGGAAATAAAATGAGTAGGCTACTATATTTATTTTTACCTTTTAACAAAATTACACACTTTTTGTACCTAATCTGCTGAATTGTCTTTAAATCGATTTTTTGTAGGGTACTTACCCTTTTTTTAATTACTTGCCTCTATCGTTGAGTTATGTAACAAGCGGTCAACCTATCAATATCATCCCGATAAGGTGTGCCTTTTTAAAGGAGTACGCTACGTTTGTTATATAGACATAATTTAATTATGGTGTATTTGTGTCGAGTCCCCTTAGTACCTACCACTGAGCCCCACGCTGGCTTCAACCAACGGAGTGATAGACTTTTTTACAAGGACAAGCAGACAGTGGGCATTACGCGAATGATATCCCCTTTAACTTTTGTACGAGTATTTCCAGGGCATCAGGCTATAACTTCGTGACAAAAATATTGGTACCACCTTCCATTCGAGACATTACGACAAATACTGAAGCAGGAGATAAACACAAAGACTGATGGAGTGGCAGAGACATGGTCCAACAATAAGACAGACGGACAAAAAAAGGAGTGTTTCTCGAAAATATCTTATATCAAATATCCGCGTGCTACCCCAAGCTGTCTACTGCGAAGAATCTCGTTTGTGGTAAATATGTAAATATTTTGTACGTTTTCCAGAAACAGAAGACGATTAATGGACACCAAGATAGGGATTCAAATCTCACACACGAAGAAACAACCCAAAAATGATTGGGTTAATACTTTATAAACGCAACAATAAATTTTGAGTCAGAGATGTGGCAATGAAGCTTGACGGAAATAGCGGAGGAAACACGGCCAAAAGACAAGAGCTTGGGTTCCACAACAAATCGAAACATATGAAATGGAATGGATACTGCTTTGAGATGAGGGAGACACAACTGACAAGAAAGTTCTCAAGGAGCAAATATGATTCGCAACGTTACAAATAACACATTAATCATATACATTTAAAGACATTCACTCATTTCATTACACTCGCATTAGTTGCAAAACAAGTATGATTCTTAACGGTTTTTTATTATTTCCAGAGTGTATTTGCTTCATAATTATCCCGATTGCTTAAACATGCATTTAGGGGTCATTCAAAAACTTCATTTTTGAGATAATTAATATAGTATTAAATTAGAAATTTGAAATGAATCTTAAAATTAACTGAAATTGCTCAATGTTTGATATTTTGTGGTCAATTTGAATATATGTTTTGAAATCAACACGGAGTTTTCTCCAGATTTTTAATGAAGTCACTTTAATTCAGAAAGTGGGAGCGAGAGTTCGTAACGAAACGCTCACTCAGTGAGGTGTTAGTTACGTACACAAATTGTTCGAAAAGCGAAAAGGGTTAAAAATCAAACTTTTGCGTATATTTAATTACCCCCATACAACTTAAAATGCTTTACATCATATTCTATTGGCATATTTGGTTCGAAATTAGTTGAGAAGGGATATAGTACCTACGCGAAGCTCCTAGCCAAGTTCATAGTAACGCCACGTGTAAGCACCAAAACATAATATGTAACTAGATACTATAAAATCATGAGACTAATAGAACGAAATCTTCCCTAAAAGACGCAGACGAGTAAATTTTGGTTTATCGTGGAATCTTCTTCTACGGGAGATGCGAGCACTTACTTTCGCCCGCCAGGAGGTCTTCGAGCAGCACTTTGGTGGAGTTGGCCGAGGCGGCGGCGGCGGGCCGGCGGCAGCTGACAGGCTGACGGGCGGCGGCACGGTAGGGCGCGGGGCGGCGGGGGTGGGCCGGGCGTGCGCCGGGCGGGCGCGCGGCGGGCGACGGGGCGGGCCCAGGCTCTCGGAGTAGCTGCGCTTGCGAGGTGGCGCGACGACAGTTCAGCGGCTTGCTGGGCGCCTGGGGGCAAACAAATGGACAATTATTCTTTTGACATTGGCGCAGGTATACAAACTGCGTATTTGCTGAAAATAAGATTACTCAACATTTGACGTGGTGGGTACTTTTTTTTTTATTTTATTTTTATTTTAGCTTTTCTACTCAACCGCCTAGTTAAGTGAACGTGAGAGTGAAATTGCTTCGATGTTGCTCCGCTGTGTTTTACACGCGAGCTGAGGTTTCTAAAGCGATTTTTTTTAAAACATTGTATTTTGATTTGTGCACTGTTGCAGCAAATGTCGCAAAAACTTGAAACCTGAAGTACAGTGGACCGGCTATCGAAGCTTTCGTTGTGCGAACAAATAAGCACCATCAAAGTCCATAAAATCTATGTAAAAATCGATTAACTTTACTGAACATTCAGAATATGAAATCCTTAGGGATAATTGTTTTTTTACTGATCAACCACTTTAGTAGTCGAACTTGCTTCGAAACACAATTCTTACACTCGCTCAACAGAGATGTTCCATTGTTTAAAAAATATTTTAAGGATCTTTAATATCGATAGTCATATCAAGACGAACATTGTCAATTAGAAATTTATGCATTCGACCCGTAAGAATTGACAAGTAAGCCCTGCGTCTGTACAAGAGCTGTATGTGAGAGGTATAGTGGCATCAAAGGGTAAAAATGTGCTGCAGATGTCTAAAGCACGACTCTCGGCTCTCTTCTCAAACCGCATATATTCATCGTTGAATTGAATTATTTAATAATTCGATAAATCAGAAAACGAAACCTTGAGCCTTCGTTTTTAATTAGTGCTCGGTTACCTTAGGTCATATGACGACATCCGCGATCACTGGTTATCCCAAATACGATTCTGTGGAGTCAGTTACATTCATTCACTCGGTGATTTGGGATGACCTTTGCTCAGAGTTAGAAGCGTTCCAAACAATTTCATTCCGATCGCTGTGTCGTTGGCGGTGCGTACCTGTGCGTGGGAGAGGTGCGAAGCGGGGGCGAGCGGCGGGGGCGGCGGGCGAGAGGGCGGAGTTCGGGCGCAGCAGGGCGAGCGCGAGGCGGCTGCCCGCGGCGGCGCCGCCCCCGCCTCGGCCGCCTCAGCCGCACGTGCTGCTGCATGGCCGCCGCCGCGGCGCTTGCTGCTGCTGCTGCTGCTGCTGGATCACCTTTCGCGCCCAGGCGGGCGACGCCGGTGCCGGGGGGTGGGCGGCCGAGGAGGTGGGCGCGGAGGGGGCGACGCGGGCGACGCGGGACGCCGGCGGGCTGGCCGATGCCGACGCCAGCCGTTGGCGTCGCCCCGGAGGCCACAGCGCCGCCGGGTCGGGCCCCGCCCCCTGCACGATCGCCTGGTTGTCGCTGATGATGCGGCTGATGTGGCGCGTGATGAAGTCCGGACTAGGGGACGCCGGCCTGCGGGTAGAAGCATGGGCGTTGTTACTCATCCGCGTTCCACATTATTTGACACGATAGTCAGCAAATGACGTGACAGAAACAATCGAAGCCACACCAGGTATAGGAAGTCTCACGGTGTTCCTAAATATTAATTTCTCTATTTTAGTCCAAGTGAGGCTCCTTTTGTTATTATAAATGTATGTCTTTGTTCATGAAGAGCTTGGGACAGTAACGCGGTGAGCCGCTCTTCAATAAAAATCAAGACATTGAGATATTGACATTCATTTATAGTGGGACATTTCAGTGGGAGTGACTGGTGTGGCTTTTCTTGTTTCTGCCCTAAGCCCTTCAATTTATTAGAATAAGATTCTCAGACATTGCCCTCACTTAACCTTAAACCTTCTATTTATGCTCTAAAGATTTATTTTCATGTTATTATTGAGACGTTGGGAGTAAATGGTGGAAACTGACATTTCCCGTGTTTTCTCACGGAAGTGCAATGTGAAACCGCGGCATTTTACGAAACAGGAAAACACAACCTGTAAAGGAAGAGCGAATTATCACTGCTGTTGGTTCTCAGTCTTTAAAACCCGTAGTTTCATCACAGCTACTTCTTAATAAATGCGAATAATTTCGATTTCGACGAAAATTTCAGGCACAATTATTCACACTCAAACAACTCAAGAAGACTAATGGAGAAAATATTATTTGAAAAGTTAAAAATATTATATACAAACAGAATAATTATTTCAACTCCAAGACAACTTATTAGTAACAAATATTGTACTATATCTGACGTTCTATTAATGGTCATTTGCAACATTCATTGTTTGCTGTAAATGACCAGGATGTAAGTATTTCACTGTTCATGACTGAACTAAGTATATAATTGGTTTGCTAAATAATGAAAATGAAACCAATAATGTTTCAAAAACTAGACGCAAAGGCGATGGGTGTAATGTTTGTGTTGTGACATTATGTTTCTAGCTATACCACTAAGTTGTTCTCAGTCAGTGTGACTGAACTTCGCGCAAGTGCGCTCAATATTCTAGAGAACGCCACGCCGCACCACTTCCAGGAAGTAGCACCTGCAACACGTTCTTAAGGCGTTGGACCAACAATTCGGTAGGCGGCGGATTTATTGTAATTCCGGAGCCGCCGCCTTCCAATGGCTCATAATTGGTTTCGTGCCCCCCGCGAGGTGTCGTACAAACAAACGCCGCACGTGTCGCGCATGCAACTCCGGAGTCGCGACACCGTCACGCCCACTTCGCGCACTTAGCACCTGGGCGAGGAGAATGAGGATGCGGCGAGAGGAGACGGTGTCCGTCACTTTCTTCTCGGAAACATGAGAGGTGGTTTTCCCAGACATCAGACGACCACAACCCGATAGGATCGTTGCGATTCCAAGTAGCACACCGGCAAAGGTGGCTCTGGGCATCGTCTGATGTCACTACTGTGCCTCTGACTGAGAAGCCCGAGAGTTCGAGTCCCGGCAGCGACAAGATTTTTCGGCGCTACCTAAATAGTGAAGTCTAATTCTGCCGCAGTCTGGAGGAGAAATTTAACGGCCGGCTGTTCTGATCAACGCTCGTCGGTTGCCTAGTAGTACGAACTGACTTTGAACGGGCGGTGGCACGCTGGTGGGAGATTCCTGGTTGGGGAAAATCGCCACCCAGTGAGGGAAGAACACCGCCACCTACCGCGATAAAACGGTGCATTACACTTACGGCACTAATGACCTTAGCAGTTGAAACTCCCAAAATCACTAATCAAACAACCAATCAAACAGAAAAATCCACAGAAAACGATTTGCCCGGCAAGAAATCTCGGTTGCTCTCGGTTGAATTTTGCAATATCTTCGCCTCAGAATGACAAGGTTCTATCTGACTTCATGCAAATGTTATAGGAAAGCATTTTGAATGTTGGCAGATGTTTAGTTAAGATATGTAGTCCTAAACATTCTAATGGAACTGTCACTTTCTTCAAAAGTTTTCTAGAAGTGTGATTGGAAAACTATGTTTATGTGCTATAAGACTGGCAATATAGATATGTTAAAACATAATTTTCTCCAGAAATATTATGTAAAAGCTTGTTATTCTGGTGCCAGGGTATGTCGTCGCGCAGACTGTGCGACCTAGGTTTACAGAGACGCCTACGAAAGTGTCAGTGTGGAAATAATGCCCTCGGCCCAAACATAAGGGGAATCTCTCATAAACTCTAGTTTAGAAATAATTTATTTAAATTATATACACAAAATGCCACAAGTAACTTATTTCACTATCAAGTAAATAAAATATTATCAACAGTATCTATCAAATTAAATATTTTCAACAGATAACGAAAGTATGCGTGTAGAAGTCGTATTTTATTAATTTTAAATTGTCCGTTGACCTCCTAGAGAAAAAAGAGAAAGAGCATAGAGAAAAAAGTAACATCACAATTGTGGAAGATAACGCATTAAATTTATGATGTGATTTTTAGTTCATTTTATCCTTTTAAGAAAAGAAATGATGAACTGTCTAAAATAAAATGGTATTGTAGGAAAATTAATTCTTATGAGAAATACTATTTTCACAAATGACTACTGTTCATAATATTTCATAACGGACTACTATTTTCAAAGTATTTACGGTTGGCAAATATTTCAAACTGTAGATTAACTCCCTTTGTAGTTTACTCCCTCTTTCCGGAGCCTTCAAATTATTTCATTGTAAATGAAAACGAAATCTCACCACAATACCAATATTTGATAAATCTTCCCTCCCTTACATAAATTGTGGTGTGACGACTGGCACAAACTAAATTATCCTTGTAGCTTTTATTCGCGTTATTTAAAGTAGATTGGACTTCTTTTACATCCTTCAAGAGAAACTATGCAACAGCAAAAGTCGAATCCAACAATACTTCTCAAATTTCCGTTGCTTCAGATCCGGAAGATTTGTTTTAGGTAAAATGGTACGCCCTTCTGTTCGTAAGGCGTAAGTAACGTCTCCCACAGAGCACCCTATCAAATATTCGCGTGAAAGCTTATTCACCAACATCATAATTACTTGCAAATAATCTGTTTAGATGACACGCCACCACTAGCAGAATATAAAGAGCTTGTCAATTGGAGCGTTTCGTTTGCGACGCCAAAAATACTCTTTTATCTCGGGTCGGTATACACCCCTGCACAAAAGTTCTGACGTCAACAAGGAACTTATCATGAGCCCCAAATCAGCGAAACCAGTTTTTCAATAAGTAAAAAGGAAAAACAAAGATCCCTGAACACACACACTGGCGACTAAAAACCAGACACGAGATAAGACGCGCTAACACTGCAGCTAGCAAAGATTAACAGAAGCATCTGGCATCTGACCGAAGGCGAGATCATACTCTATGGGCTTGCCTTGAGGGTAGCTACCATGTTTCCTGACATTTATGGTGGATATTGACTAGTTGGGTATCTACAGACAGGAACATTGATCGCACAACCCAACCAGAGTATGCAACCGGCATCACACGCCCAAAAGGCAACATGATAAGTCCCTCACTTGCAGATGGCAGGTGCTTACAGCGCGAGTCTTCAGCACCATTTACCTCTTGTTAAAAGCCATTCACGATTACCTGTTACATGTTAATATCCGATCACGAGCACTGCAAGCGCACTAAATGGGGAGAAGCCGAGGCAAATAAGCCAACCGTTCATGACGCCTTGTGTCGCAATATTGAGGAAAATATTGCCAACGTAAGTGAGCCGTTCTTCAGAACGTCGCAATGAGCTGCTTTAAAGTCGAAGCCTGAGCGAAAGAGAACGAAGCGTAATTTCCATAAACTCTTGTAACGTATAGAAGCAAAACCATGTCGTCCCCTTTTTTTTAAATAAAATCAAGTAACATTTACATCAAGATCATATTTCAGCATCAGCAAAATCTTGTATGCTCGTGAATAGGCAATTTAAAACTATTATTAGTATAAATGCAATTTTGTTAATATTTTATAATTATTAAAAAATTGAATTCTAACATGTGATGTGCTTTCATTGCACTATTCAATGATCACTTACAGTCAGTTTATTTCATATTTCTAAATATCCCCGACATATTTAAAAAAAAATAGTTTTCCTATACATACCACATCTTTTAAGTAGTTATATTATCCATTGTGGTAACTGAAAGCACAACTATTAATATAATTGTGTCTTACTACATTTTATGAAGACGAAATGATTAAACATAAATGAGTACATAAATTTAATACACTAAACACGAACAAGGAAAGCCATTTTTACTGAACATGTAGACGGGTAGACTTAATCTTATTAAAAGACACTTACTTATCGCGCGGCGGCGCCACAGTGGTCGCGAGCAACCGTCATAGGAAGCAGCGCCCGCGCACGTTCTGGGCCGCAGCGGGGCGCGCTGCCGCTGGCGGGCGACGTCGTTCGCGCGGGCCGCGACCGCACCGAGGGCCGCGGTTACCCGCGCTCGTTGAGCAACGGGCGCTCGCTGGCGTCACGGCATGCGGCGCCGGCGCTACACTACTGTTTTGACGCACGGCCAAAGCATGCGGATAAATGGAACACGTGTGGAACTCACGAATTGAATTGGATAGAAATACTCGAGCAGTCGTTACGCGGGGTACGTGAATCCAATGGGTGCCATTTCTGCACTGTCAGAAATGGTATCGAATTTAATGTAGGTGAATGCGTTGTACATGAAACTTCATGTAACCTTGTACATTAAAAAGAGATTCGTATATTTGTACACTAAATTTATGGCTTAAGTTAAAATCAGTGTAGATTAAATGTAGAAGTTCTTGTTTCCCCTCCCTCTCGCCATTCATCTAATGCATTCATAATCACCACTCCATTAAGATTATTCATTCATTCTTTCCTGATATAACTATAAAGCTTTGACTGTTGCATCCTAATGTACATGTGCACATTAAATTTCATGCGCGTTCATGATAATTACTTCAATGTACATTTCATTAAAGTAATGCGGGCATTTTCGACAGTGTGGATTTTGGGTAAAAGCCGTCGACTCAACGATGTTAATCTCGGATGACGGCCGATTGCAAGTTGCGGAAGCTTTGCCGAAGAGCAAAAATCTACGCCACACCGAGTCGCGATTGTGACACGTTGAAAACCCCTACAACATCATTTTTATATCCTCGATAAAATTAGTCACGGCAAAATCAGCGCCTCGTCTGGGATTGAGCTGATGCGGGCAACTAGGAAAAGCGGTTTTGACGCACGGCCAAAGCATGCGGCAAATGGAAAAACGTGTGGAACCACGAATTTGAAGAAGGATAGAAATACTCGAGCAGTTGTTACGCGGGTACGTGAATCCAATGGGTGCCATTTCTGCACTGTCAGAAATGGTATCGAATTTAATGTAGGTGAATGCGTTGTACATGAAACTTCAGTAACCCTTGTACATTAAAAAGAGATCGTATAATTGTACACTAAATTTAAGCTTAAGTTAAAATCAGTGTTAAATATTAATGAAATCTTGTTTCCCCTCCTCCTCTCATCATTCATCTAAGCATTCATAATCACCACTTCATTAAGATTATTCATTCATTCTTCCTGATATAACTATAAAGCTTTGACTGTTGCATCCTAATGTACATGTGGCACATTAAATTTCATGGCGTTCATGATAATTACTTCAATGTACATTTCATTAAAGATGCGGGCATTTTCGACAGTGTGGATTTTGGGTAAAAGCCGTCGACTCAACGATGTTAATCTCGGATGACGGCCGATTGCAAGTTGCGGAAGCTTTGTCATAGTGCAAA